TTTACATTATAGGTTTTTAAAAGCGATAGTGACAGTGAATAGTGAAAGTGATACAACAGTGTTATAATTAAAATAAAATACAAAGTAATAAGATTATAATTATGGTTAACGTAGTTTTAGTCTTTCCCGCCAAGAAGGTTTTTTTGCTGTTTTGATATGCAAAAAAATAAATGCTCGATTAAAAGATGATCCATACAGCTTAAATTTATCGCATTGATATTTTTTTAATCAAACGTAGTTCAATTGTTATTATATAGATTATCAGATTTATTCTTCAGGACAAATATGGCAGAACACACCTTTAATAATGCTGGATTGACAATTAAGAGATGGCCGAAAACGTATGCATCACATTTGCCACTATCCCAAGTAACATTATTATTATTATTTAGCTTTATTAAGGAGGCTTTCAGCCTTGGGCTGGTTCGCCTCCAAATCCCAAGTAACACATATTCATGGCATTATGCGTTGCGTTGCGTGTGTAACGGAGTAAATTGTCGATTGAATAATGGCAACTGTCATGTATCAACGTTCTTATTCTGATTGCTTAAGGAACACTATTTGGGAGTGAATAGTTCTCCAATCAACGTTCAGAACAGGAAAACCATGACAATTACCATTGCCGGCCTCTGGATACGAACCAGCCCAGGGCTGAAAGTCTCCTTAATAAAGATAAAAAAACAGCCACGCCCATCTTCTCCATTACGGAGAAAAGAATAATATTGTTGATGTAACATCTACTTAACGGGAGGCCAGCGACTCACCGCCGCCCGCATAAATGCTACGGAGTTGGATAATTTGGTAGGAGATGGGTCAGGATTCGCTTAAGCAGGCGATGGGACCATAGTAATTTTTTTGTTCTCGAGGAGCTTAGGAGCAAACCCACGATCTTCTAGCCAAGCTCCTAAATTTAAATTCCAATCCTGTTAAAAATAAAATTGAACAAACAAAAAGGAACCGTCTCACCCGAATGATTCAATTTACTCCAGCCATATGTGATAAAAACACTGATGCACTTTGGGGGCCACTTGGCCAGTTCTGAGGACTTCTCCAACGACGGTTGATAGTCGTGGATATGAATTCGCACTCACGACGATTTATATCCTTCAGTAACACATATTCAAGGCATTTTGTTGACTAAACTTAATTACAACCAAAACTAGTCATACAAAGGTTATATAATCTGTTAGACACAAGTTCTATGTTGCTTATGATTGGAATGAGAGGGTTAATGTCATTTGTAAAATTAAAAATCTCGGTATTTGAACCTCTTATGAATAAGTATGAAAGAAAAGATCTTGCTTAGAAAATAGTCATTCAAAACACACGCCCGAATTTTCGATGCATCCTGAATTTACTGAAGTCGGCCGACAGCAATACCATTAATATGCATTGAGTTTTACATGTATATGTGTTTTTACATAAGAGATAAAAGTTCAATTGTAATTTATTGAATTTTGAACGAAACACTATAGACGAAAGACTATAGACTATAAACTATAGGATTCATGACCCTCCTCCCCCTGCGTAGACAATTGCCCATACATTTTTTTAAATTTGTATGGCCTGTGGATAGTTGCCAACCCCCCCCCCCCCCTTAAACTCTGTCTACGTAGTTTATGAACAGCCCCTATAGTATTAAATATATTAGTTTTTCAGTCGAATGCTTTTGGAAGAATTCAAATCGGACCATATTTGGCGAAGTTACAACATTCCAAAGTTACTTTTTTCACCTCAATGCAGATTTGAGCAATTTTGTAGGAATCTGAACCACACCTCATAAAACCGATTAAATTACAATATTCGTGCATTTTGTGGTCGATATGTGTATGTACACCGATGAATATGATTTGTACCAACAAACTGAAAGCAACTGAATATCTCAAAATTGTAAACAACGTGAAATATCGTCAAAAGGTGGCGAATACTGGAGCGTTTTCCCTATATGAATTTTTTTTTCACAGTATGAGATTATCCATGCGCTCTGACTGTATTGCAGTGTATCTACTGTTGTTGAACTATATATATGTACGATTACTAAAATTACCTAAAAATTATTATGCCTCACAAAAAAACAAAAGAAATGAATCACCTTTAATTTGAATTCAAATGAGATTTCTTTACTAGTTTCAATTCCCTTATAAACGATTGAAGCTGTTATTGCTGCAATCAAATCGAATAAGGTATCGTCATAGAAAATTTACCAAGGTTCTCTTGGTAAAGCGAATCGATATTCTTGGGATCGTAATTCTGTATTAGCAAATCTCAATTTAATTAATTGGATTACAATTTTTCAACTCCATTGGCTCAATCTGATGACAATTTCAGTGGATGCATGCGAATGCAATCGAGAATCAATCCAAAATTAATAAAATTTACATGCAAATAGACTACATTGTCATCAATATATCCACCACAAGAACTCTACAAAACAGCAGATTAATGATTTTAGTTTTTATACTTAATATGACAGGATCAGAGAGATGAAGAAGTGGTTACTATTTTTATCAAAATAATTATTTTATTAATGAAACTTGTTGTTTCTTTAAAATAAATATTTTATAAATGAAAAAAAAAGAAACTACTTACATCCAACCCTTTTTTTACGTGGGTACAAACTTCCAATTTTCTTTTTCTGTGGTTAAGTTGAAAAATTTGCAAAGGTACCATGTTTTTCATTGATTTATTTTTCTGATTTTTTTTACAACAGTTTCATCAAGTTTGATTTTATTTGAACATCGGAAAAAAGGAAAATGAGACCGCGTAAAAAAGGGTTTGGTGTATTAAATAGAAACACATTTAATAGATTTTAAACATCACTTAATCCATCTAGATCTATAAATGAGTTTTTCAAAGAAGAGCTAAAATAAAAGTTGTCCTCTACAGGCTAACTTTATCGAATGAATTACAAAGTTTTAGTTTAAATCAATTGTATTAGCAAATCTTAATTTAATTGATTCGATTACAACTTTACAACTCCATATATATCGATAATTCAAAAATTTACAAATAAGCTCTTAAACTTGCAAACTGGAATGCAGAGTTTTTAACAGTTTTGTAAGTTAAATGGCATGTTTGAGAATTGCCATCAGTAAGATTGGCTCAATCTGATGACACTACAAAAATAATAAAATTTATATGCTAATGGACTACATTATCATCTATATATCCGCCACAATAACTCTCTACAAAACCAGTAGATTAATGCCCAAAATTGAATTTTTGTTTTAAACATTTGTAAGCATTCACGATTCGACTCTTATTTTTTTAAATTTGATCGAACATTCGCGCCACTCTGTTTTATATATAGAGACTAGGTTTCCGACTTTTCTAATTTTCCTTTAAATTTTTCAGATTTTCTTGCTGTAAAAATGTTCCTTAGGCGGAGCTGAGCCCAACAATAAAAGACAGCTCAAATCGGACGATCCGTTTTTGAGTTATGTGCGGTCTTATGTATGTCACTCTGTTATATAATTTAGCAGAAAAAGAACAACACCAAACATTTCAATTGCATTGGGAAATCAAAATGTAAGCAAATGTGAAAGAGTTAGAGATTTAGGAATTAACTTAGACTCTAATCTAACTTTCATAGATCATTACAATACAATATTCTCAGGGTAAATAACATGCTAAGCTTTATCAAGCGCTTTTGCTACAACTTTCAGGACCCATACACAATGAAAACACTATATATTGTCTATGTGAGGTCAATACTGGAATATTGCAATATTGTACAGTCTTCTTTTACAATCACGCACGGGAAGTAAAGTCGTTGGTCCCCGGTTCATGAGTTGATGGGTCGATAGGTCGAGAGGGATTATAATACTACAACAGAGCAATTTTGATATGATTTCTTAATGAACATGTTCACGATATTTTTGAAACTTTGACTTTGATTTAATTTGAGTCAATTTCATTCATGCATTTGATTGTAAATCTTTATAAAAATACGTTTTAGCTGAAAATGTGAAGTACTTGATCTGAAATAATATCGCATTCTGCAATGAAAAATGTACGAAAAAAGTATTCAATCCTTCCTTGAAATGTTCGTAAAGTTATCATTTCAGTATTTTTGGAATGATTAACATTTATCGATTAAGAGGAACTAAAATTTGTTAACAGTTACTTAACAACTGGTTGTTTTGCTGTTTAAAAAAATCACTCAAATTATTAATTTAGGCTTTGAATCGAAAGTGAAGTACATTTACATATATACACTATAACTGGAACATAACAAATGCAATCAAACAAAGAACCCGGAAAAAAATAACCATACAATTAACATAAAATAAAATACAGTTACAACGAAATCTATTGTGAACAATCTATCTTATTTTACGTATATTGTACAAGAAATTCTAACATACTGTTATTACAATAGATGTACAATACGTCCAATATTGTAAGGAATTTCAACAATAGAACAACATTACAATTAACGGTGAATGGCTTAAGTTTGTTCGGGAAAAAGTGATTTTTCGTATGGTTAAGATACATTGTTCTATTGTAGGTTTCCCCATTTACCATAGATTGTATTGTGAATATAAAAAAATATATGGTTATTTTATTGTTTATTGTGTGTGAATACCATAGATTCTATTGTATGGTTACAATACATTTCAGTGCACCTCTATGGTTCTTTTTTCACGGAAAGGTAAACTGAAGCAGTTAGCTTGATTAATTATGTTATATAGCCTGAAAAGAAAAGTTCAAAAGATTTTCAATTATCAAACAAATATCAAAACTATGAAAACTGAACGACACTGTTATTGTGCATGGTTCATATGGTTTATATAATTATTCGTGAACCCATATAAGTTAATAAATACTATGTGGAGTTCCCAATGTGTCGCAAACGAATGATTGAATCAGTTCAGTAATGGTTTGGATGATATCTCCAACACACACATAAATACTTTTCTTGCCTTTTTTTCTAAAAATTTTGGATCATTTTTGTATTGTCCAATGTCCAGAAATACTTATAAATATTAATAAATTACCTTGTGTTTGACTCTTTCTCGCTGTCTTTTTCTCTTTCATCCAGGGGTATTCTGGAACGGAGTCTAAATTTTCTGTAGAGCCTACTGGATATCCTTGAGTAATCAATTTAGGGCTTTCAGAATCTATATGAGTTAAAAACTCTGCCATTGATGGTTGAGAATTAATAAATCCACTTTCATTTTGCATCCAATATGATGAATCAGGATGAACTTGGGTTTGAGGCACTGTATCCGTGGTTGTAGAACTTTGCGTAGCACATCTTATGGGTTTATCACTTATAAGAGGTTTTCGATTCAACCTAGAAGCTGTTTGAATTAAAGGTGAATGAGATTGCGATCTCGTTGCATCTGCTTCCACTAAAACACTTCCTTGCAATGATCCTAGGCCAGGCGTTTCTGTTTTGACCTGGGATCCGATATGGTCTGCGGAGCTGCACACTTCTTGCATTTTATTACCTCGTTTTATTACATATGCAGAATGCAATATTACGGTAAGTGATATCACATCTTAACATCAATCTTTTCAATCACTGTTGGTCACTGTTCCACTGCTGCTTTAATCTCCTTTGCCATTGATTTTGTTATGATTCTATACATGTAATAGTACTTCACAATTACATCACGAAATATATCCACTTCAAATTAATGCACTTTATTAAACTGAGCCGTTCCATTTAATGCAAAACATGCAGTAATCCTGGTGGTATGCTAACTGCTAACTTATAAATTCACTTCACTTCAAAATTTCAGCATATACTGCTAAACTTCACATTTCTGGTGCTTCTTTCTTAGCGCAAAAATAATGTGACTGTAATGTCCAGCTTTGTGATGACTACTAACATAAAGATAACATGTGTAAACTTACGAGACACTCTTCAGTACAGATGCCGAGTGCATTTTTTGTAATATTTTCCATGGAAGAGGGCGTCGACGTTTCTTCAGATAGCAGGTTGTACATGTTGCTGTTAGCAGTACCATAAAAAACATCACGCTTTGAACAAACATCGTCTACAAATGCTACACAATCCACTCGTTGGATCTACATATAACTTGAGTCGCGTCTTGCAGTGGGAGGAGCTTAAAGCGACCGAAGGATTATTGTCTGAGAGAAAAAGAAAACTCTCTGAGAGTGAAGAATTGTAAATTAGAGAAAACTAGGAATACCTATGTCATTCCAATAGACGCCTAAAGAAATGTGCCATTAGGGCTGTGTCACAATAGTCGGGTTAAATTTAACTCGTACTTAAAAGTGACAGATGGAAAACTATCCGAGCGTGGCTATTTCTGACATACAAGAAGTAAAATTTTTGTAATCGTGGCTGAGTTCTGCTCGAAAACCAGCCAGTCGGGGATTTTCAAACATGAAATATAACTTTTAAAATGTCACATTTAACTCATCGTAAAATTAGGGTTAACTACCGCATTTCTAGCCTATTAAGCACAACCCGCCTTAGTATTTCTTCCGACAAACGGAATTCTATTATTACTGATGGCTTCCAAATGTATGTACCTTTCCGTATGTAACGTAAGATTTGATAAAGAGAAACCAATCGTTGAGATATTATCAAAAGTCTAATACTGCTTCTTGACGCCAAACTCGGCCTACGGATTCTAACCTCGGCCTGTTGCATTGAAACGCCAATAAATTCACTTCGGCCTATCGGATGAAGATAAAAAGTGATTCGGTCGAAGCGCTTCTTTTGTTTTTGGGAACAATGGGTGCAAACCTTCATATCACGCGTTCTCATTGACTTCGTTCCGTAGCTTATAAACTAAAGTATCGTACCAAACGCACAATTGACTTGTTAACTCTGAAATCAAGGATTTATTTGAAGTTTTCTGCTCGATAGGCCCAAAATGGACGATTAGGCAGAAGTAGCCTAAACTCGGCAAATGGGACACAATCTTAGACACAAACAATCGAGTTCGTCCCGTACGGGACGTAATTTACACATTTGTGTTATCAACTAAACTAGTTTCAGGGGTATTAGTATTTCTTCCGACAAACGGAATTCTATTATTACTGATGGCTTCCAAATGTATGTACCTTTCTGTATGTAACGTAAGATTTGATAAAGAGAAACCAATCGTTGAGATATTATCAAAAGTCTAATACTGCTTCTTGACGCCAAACTCGGCCTACGGATTCTAACCTCGGCCTGTTGCATTGAAACGCCAATAAATTCACTTCGGCCTATCGGATGAAGATAAAAAGTGATTCGGTCGAAGCGCTTCTTTTGTTTTTGGGAACAATGGGTGCAAACCTTCATATCACGCGTTCTCATTGACTTCGTTCCGTAGCTTATAAACTAAAGTATCGTACCAAACGCACAATTGACTTGTTAACTCTGAAATCAAGGATTTATTTGAAGTTTTCTGCTCGATAGGCCCAAAATGGACGATTAGGCAGAAGTAGCCTAAACTCGGCAAATGGGACACAATCTTAGACACAAACAATCGAGTTCGTCCCGTACGGGACGTAATTTACACATTTGTGTTATCAACTAAACTAGTTTCAGGGGTCATCAACAAATTATGTTAGATTCCTGATGAATGTGGGCGTCTATTATGTAATACTTGTATAACGAATGACAGAAGGATTAGTAATTTCCATTTAATTCCACCACCTTAATTGCTTATCTTTGACAGTTACGCGTATTTCGTCTATATTGTGCAGGCTTATTGTGCAGTAGTTATACTCGACTGAAAAATCCATCGCAAGCTACCGAATATATATTAAATGTAGGTACATTTTCACTTAAGAGCTCGGTAAACTTAAATTTAATCTTCTGTAGAAGCAGGTGCTTACACGTTGCTGTGTTACAGGTAGTAACTTGAAAAGCCATGTGTGCCGTTTCCTTGATTCCTGTTAAGTGAAGTCGTGAGTAAAGATACCCGTTGTTTGTTGATGTCGATACTCTTTGCAACGTTCAATTTCCATTTTAAACCATGATGTCCTCCGTCGCCCGTTGGCAGTGATTATTAGACCCAGCTCCTCTCACCCTTGTAAGGAACCGTATGATTTTAAATTGAATCGCTGTCAAAATCTTATTTTTGATTAACTCATTGTCACTTCTAAATTTCACAGCACACATAAGCTTTTTCAAAACATCTTACTTTGACACTAGAACTTCACGTTTGCTCCAGTTCAGCAAACAGGGAATTACAATTTCGTGAGCGATTCAATGTCTGAGAATTGTTATAGCGCAAATCAGTCATCATGATAACCATTTCCGGAATCTTCGAGGAATCACCTTAAGTTAACCACCACCACCCTTGGAATTAGATGTCAATATTTTAAATTGACCATATGCTTGTATGGTAGTGGTCGTTATTAAATTATTTTCATTTAACTTAAAAATCGTTTGTGAGAAAACTTCAGCTATTTACTTTAACTCCATTGTTTGAAAATGTAAGAAATTTTCAGGCTCCCTCTCACCCTATCATCTTATATAATTCGATGATGATCCCTCAAGATATCGTTAGCATCGTACTTGTTTATTCTTCTTCTTCAAGCTGATTGCTTACCCCATATTAGCTTATAGCTTGGTCTCAACTTAGTGTTCTATATGCATTTCCGCAGTTATTAACAGAGAGATTTCGATGCCTGAACCATTTTTGCATTAGTATAATTGTGTGACAAGTACAATCATACTCTATACCCAGGGAAGTGGGGAAATTATACATCCCAAAAAATACCTAGACCTGATCGGGAATCGAACCCAGCTACCTGCAGCATGGCATTTATTTGTAGCTGTGCCTTTACTGATTGAGCTAAAGGAGGCCCGTTTATTAGTGGTGTGATTTACTCTTCGAGCACTGAATATAAATCAAACTTTGAACTATTTTACTTACAAAGAAGATATACAAGCCGCCGAAGTTCCGAAATGCTCCAGCCTTGGTCCAACGCTATGTAACGTGATGTACAACGGTGTGCTGACGATCAAGTTGCTCAAAGAGGTCGAAATCGTTGGCTTTGTGGACGCTAGACGGTAGAAAAAGGGGAAATGCAGACAACCAAGACAATCGAAACGATTGGAAACTGGATGCAAGAAGAGAAACTGCAGATAGCACACCTCAAAACGGAAATGTTATTGTAACTCTAAACCGTTGCAACCGACATAAATCATCATCGAAGAGCATGCTATAGCGCTTTGATAAGCGCGAGTTGAAATATCTGGGAGATCTACGACCGACTATACTTTAACAGCCTTGTCAACTATGCTTGCGAAAATGTGGCGAAGGACATTACGGCAGTTGCTAGAATCATGAACAACAGTTTGAGACTATGTAGTAAAAAGAGGTATATTCTAGATAGCGTATTTTCGTCGATATGCTTTGTAGCGCTAGAAACCAAAAAGAATCAAGTGAAATCTTGCTTGAGTCATTGCTGAAATGATCCCCATCTTTATCATTTTGGCGAAAGAAAACGAGTGTTACAAGCCGAAATAAACAAGAGGAGGACTTCTTTATCTAGATTTTTATAAGCTTTGGTAGCGAGCGTTTTGCCGATGAAATGTGTCACCAGGGTTACTTCCACTCAATTGCTATAAAAATTGTGTTTCCGAACTATGAAAACATTAGATGTTATAATGATAATTAGTACATGTAAATTACAAGAAGAAGTCGTGAAGTATATGTTTGACACATTAAACCTGTCAATATTTCTTTCAGTGCGTCACAATCAGCGATTTAACGATTCGTGAGCGCTTACTCAGAGTGTACGCTCGCGAATCATAAGATAGTCGATTGTGACGCTCTGAAAGCGAAATTGACAGGTTTATGAGTCAAACACATCCTTTACACCCTTTTCTTGTTACTTACAAGTACGACGTATAATTATATCATCTGATGATCTCATAATTTTGAAAACCATTGTTTTATAGCAAGTGAGTGGAAGCAAACCTGTGTGTCACTGTGGGGATGTCATACAAATACTTAGCATATTGGTGGAGAAAACTATTGAAAACGAATAATTTTATGCGGGTTAAGCAGCACTTTACTTCTTCTTTCAAATGCAATTAGTTTGGAATTAACAATTTTGACCAACTTCGAGTTGTTGGTTTTGGAAAAAATGCTATTTTTGGGTCAAAACAATAAATAAATCATAAAATATAAAAGATATAAACTTACATCTATGTACAAAATCACGTATCTTTATTATACAAAATAGATTGTAGAACATGTTGATGGTGGAAAACTATTACCAGAAACATTGATTTTTAAAAGTCTCGATACAAAATCTTAAATATCTCAAAAGCTGTAAGAGATACAGAGTTGATGTCTTGAACAAAGATGCTTGTTTCAATATTATATATAACTTTTCACAAGACATAATCTTGCTATCTCGACTTATAAAATTTGTTTTTATTTTCGTTTTCTGCTAGGTATATTAATCATAAAAAATATAGTTCAAAATAACCAGCTAATCATGTACACAAACTTTTTCAAAGATAATGTATAATATAATCAGTTTTCGCGTAATTAATAAAAACACACGTTTAAGCGCTTTTAAACCACTGTGGGA